TCTTTTATTATTAATAAAGATAAATTATTTTACTTAACTCGAGTCTATATGATTTTTAAAAAAATACTCTGGTCATTACTCTATAAGACGGGGAATGGTCTATGATAAGTTTCCATCCTCATGAGACTATTTACTAACTCCCCTTAATCATGCACTATCATATTTATTTTAATTTTAATAATTTTTTTTTAGTTATCATTTGTTTATTATTTATGTTTTAGTGCTTCTATTATTTTTAGTTTGTAGTTTTATTAGTTTTATTTAGAATCCCTAATTTTATTTAAGAATGTGTATTTTTTTTTGTTAATCTTATTTTGTTTGTGAGAGTTATTTTATGTGTTTATGACCTTATTGGTGAATATGTACTATTATTAATATTCTTCTAAGGCTATTCAACTCATTATACCATCAACCATCATACAATATTTAAAACATGCAATCTTCATTCAACAATCAAGCAACAAGCAAATGACAAATTAAAACATTCAGTATCACCATTTTTTCAAGTCTTCCTCTTACGTGATTATCAATCCCGATTCCTTAATTTTATAAACTTTATTCAAAACTTAATTAGGTTTTTTTCTTGAAAATATTTTTAAAAATATGAAAATGTGGTTTTGGGATAGCTACTAGATATACTTACCTTCTCAGATGACTAAGACATCAATTTACACTCTCCCCAATTTCATGGCATCGTGAAGCTATATATCAATTATTAGATACTTTTTTTTACCAAAATAATTTTATAATTACTAATAACTCACCCAGATTTCTAAGTCTAATTACTCAACTTACCTAAAATCAATCCTAAATCTAACTTAATGAATTAACACGAATATATGGATTTTTAGGAATTTACCTTCAACAGGTTTGGAATTCCCGAAAGAGATGCACCCCGCTTCGCCGTAGGAAGCAGTTGGCTTGGCATGAACCCCACAGTTATCAATGCGATAACCCAAAATGGTATCATGTTACGATTCTCTCCACCTCCCGACTACCAGTCCAATGTTTTTCTCGTTCACAACTGGAATACACATGTCATTAAAGATGAGTAATAATCGAAATGCTACAAAACAAAAGGAAAATGATTTTACCTTTGAATCCAGGGTCCTCGGATGTTGGAGCCACCATGCACCACCACGTGCGTCACCAGAATAGTCACACACTACCGCATGTGCCACCGTGATTAGTACGCGCCTTCGTGCGCACCAACAGTAGATCAAGCCACGCCTTTCCTCTTTTTTCTCTTTTTTTTTGTTTCTTTCTTTTTTTTTCATCTCTTTTTTTTCCCTTTTTTTCCTTTCTTATTTTTTCTTTTCTTATTTTTTCGTTCTCTTTCTTTTTTTTTCTTTGTTTTTTTTTTCCTTCTTCCTCGTGGTTGTTTCCTCTTTCCTCTACCATGTCCACCATTGCCACTGCATCAGATTCCTCTGTTCTATGAAACCATCGCACACGAAGTCCCTTCTTCCCGACCGCACACGTCGCACACTTATCTTCTCCGCAGGATCGCTACACATCGTGCCGGTTGTTCAAATATGCTTCCTCTCTCGGCTTCAATGACCCTCGACCGCACGTCGTGCACCATGGCCATTAATCCTTCGTTCTTTTCCCTTCTCTTCTTCTTCTTTTTCTTCTTCTTCTCCTTCTCCTCCTCATTCTTCTTCTTTTTCTTCTTCTTCTCCTTCTCCTCCTCCTTCTTCTTCTTATTCTTTTTCTTCTCCTCCTCCTCTTTATTCTTCTTCTTTCGCCCGATGATTTCCCCTTATCTCTCTTCATTTTTTTGTTGCAAGCCTCTCTCTCTCTCTCTTTCTTTCTCTCTATCTCTTATTCCCGCGACGTCTTCCCTTCTGCCTCGTCTTCCACCTTCGCGACCACCGCATAGTCCTCCACCTCACGCGGCCAAGGCTCCTCCCCTCTCTCCTCTCTCTTGGTCCCAATGCCGCCTGGGCTTCCCTGACTGCTAGGGTTCTATTTTCCTCTCCGAGAGCTGAAAATGAAGCTTTAATATCGGCTTTTGGGAGTCGTCGGATCTGCAAGACAAATTTAGACTGTACGTTTTCAGATCTTGCCACGTGTACGCACACATGGCCGAATGACCTGGCCCACCTTGACACCTCACCTACTGAGGTGTCCTCTATTTTCAAAATTACATTTTAGCTCTATTTTTAGTATTTATTATCATTTAGGTCCTTATTATTCATAAAATATCAATAAAATTAAATTTTTTCTTCATTTAAACCTCTAAAATTTTAATTAATATAATTTTATACTTAATTAAAATTTTAAATATCATTTTTTTTAAGTATGCAAAATTACAATTGTTACATAAAATATATTATGAAAATTACTTCATTTAATATTCTTAAATGTAAAAGATAGGTATGTATATATACTCTTTGTAAAATTACTTTATCACGTTAACTTTTTGTGTTTTATTTTTCCAGAAAAAATAAAATGGTTCATTATTACTATTGAAGAACATTAAACGATTAAAATATCAATCATCATTATTAAATTATTTTTAACTCTGCCTTTTAAAATCCAAGCCCAAATCTAAAACTAAGCCGAAAAACAATCAAATGTTTTGGGAATTTTGAGCGCAAACTCAATCCACAACGACAGCCCAATTAGAACAACAAGGGCCAAGCAGCCCAGCCAGCATACCAAACGCGCTCAAAACGCACCGTTTTGTTGTGCTGTTTTTGTTTTTCCTCTTCCGTCGTACAGTGAGATAAAAACGCAAGACAGAGCAAGAGCTGCAGAGAGAGAGAGCGGCATCCGGCAGAGGGCACGCGGAGGGGAGAGATCTATTGCATTTTTTTGGTAGGTTTAAAGAATCGGAGCCTGTAGAGAGGGAAGGGAGGCAAGACTAAAACAGAAACCTAGCTTCTGCCATGGTCGATAAGAAGAGAAGCAGGAGATAGTGTGAAGCAGAGAAAAAGCACTAGAAAAAGGAGTTGTTGCCTAGAAGCAAGGATCCAAGTAGAGATAGAAAGCTAAAGAAGATACTGAGAGATTAAGTGACGCTAGATGGGCAGGGAAAAGAACAGAGCGAGGGGGGACCGATTTTAGGAGAAGAGGAAATTTTGGGTTTTGAAGGTCTGATCTCAAGGTTGCGAAATTTAAGAAGGGTGAAGGTTGAGCCGAGACATAGAAGAGGGATTGAGAGCGCTCGGGATTGAGAAGAAACGAAGAAGGTAGAGAGTTCATTGGAGGCGGGGGGTAAGTCGGCATCGTGTTTCCTTCTCCATTTTGCATGCTTATTGGGAGGTCTTTTGTCCAAGTCAAGTCCATTTACCGTGATGAATGAAAATGGAATGGAGAGTTAATGATGGAAATCTCTTGTATGACTGGAATTTCATGCCTGCAATGAACTGGGATGAGTAATTTACTTCCAACTTGGTGAAATGTCTTAAGTATCTTATCAATTTCAATGGTGATAGTGCTTCTCTTTTCTTGACATTTAATCTTCGTACTACTTCGATATATATACTTCCTTGTTTGTCTTTGACTTAACAAAGAAGATGATGTTAGCTTTATCGATTCATTTCTTTCATGTTTCTTTCGGGTTAATGAAGAGTGTAATGAAGACGGCTATTACTTATAGAAATGTCGTTCCAACTGTTCATGAACTTATGGAGTTGTTACCTGGGATTCATATTCTTTGAAGTGTAAGGTTTTAGAAGAAAGCAACTAATTTGAAAAAGAAAAAACTGCGAGAACTGAGAGATCAAAAGGGAAATAAGCCCTTTAATGTCTTCTGATAATTTGATCTGCTGCATTTTTTTACTAATAATTGGGTTTCGTATTGCTGGTACAATTTCTGCTTCTGTTTTCTGAGTCTTCATTCATTTCCTATTGGATATTCCACTAACTAGTCGAGATGCATTAATTTCTAGCTTCAATCTTGATCTCTGAATCTCAATTTGAGTAAATGGTGTTTAATCTTTGTTCTTTTGGAGGGGTGATCTGGGCTTTTTCTTTATGTTTAGTGGATAAAAAAGGTTTGATTTAATAAAATGGAAAGACAGAGTTGGACAGAAACTGGAATTACCCTTTCGTTACAGAAAAGGTAAAACAGAAGGAGAAATAGAAAAAAGAGGGAGGAAAAGGGAGATCGTGCCGGGGAGAGAGACCTTCAGTCATTCCTAACAACCAAAAATTTACCTTGTACCTTCCCTCTAGGAAAATAAACTCACTGTGGGTCAAATATTAGAACTCAGTACAATGCTCTTCTTTAGATCTATCCTCACACCTCTATTTTGGCTTGAGTATATACTATATGTGCTTGCTGTGCTTTTCTTCTATTATTGTGTGATTCTTGACTTGCTTCGTCGTCTTTATAGACTTCCTGGTAATTGGTACCCATTAATTGTGGTTATTATCTGCAAGTCATGGACAAGTCGAGTGCTCTGGAGTACATCAACCAGATGTTCCCAACAGGTGCATCACTATTTCTCTTTCTCGTATCATCATTCTTTTCCCATTTTTTATTGTTTTTCTTCTGGTTTAGGCATATACTAGTGGAATTACATATAGTTCTGTAAGAGTTGTACACCTGAGAATGAAATTTATTTTCTTAGAAAAGTTCTTATAAGAAATCATGATAAGATTATACATGTGAAGCTGTAGAATGCTAGTTTTCCATTCTTTTCATTCTACTGGGTTTCTTAGAAAAATCAGTCAGATGGTTAGTAAACTCAACTGGCTATGCTTCTCATTTATTTTCAAACTAAATAAGTTGGTGACTTGGATTCTTTTGGCATTTTCACTCCATTTGTTGCCAACTCCCCCATAAAATCATTAAATGGTAGATCATCTCATTGAGTTATTATGCCCCTGTCTTATCTTCTTTTTCTTTGGGTCATGGGAGTGGAAAACAAATCAATGCAATCCCTTTTATAGAATTAGATTTTTAGGACTGACCTTAAAAAAATTTTCTTCTTCCTTGTTCTTTTGCTTGGTGAATAGGGTCTAGCCTAAGCCTTCCTTTAAAAGAAAATAGAAGATCCTAGCCTTCTTTCTGGTTCTGGTCATTTAAATTTACTCGTCTAATGACATTGTAAATATGGTTGATATGCAGAGGCATCTTTATCTGGCGTCGAGCCACTTATGCAAAAAATACATAGTGAGATTCATCGTGTTGATGCTGGAATATTAGCTGCTGTTCGCCAACAGGTTGATACTTCTTCATTCTAGTTATTCGATGTTGAAAACTCTTAATATTTAAATAATTGGATTTTGTTGTCGTATCTGTTTGTGGTCTGTTCTGGCTTGAAGCTTTTTATGTTTTCAGCAGTCTTCTTAAAGCTTTGAATCTCTTTGGTTTGAAATCGAATATTAAATATTAGATATCTGGGAAGTTTTTTCTAGATATTTCAGGCCTTATAATGAATGGGAAACAGTAGGATAAATATATGAACTGAAAACTTTTGGATGATACTCATGGCAAGTAAAAGCAGTTACTTAGGGGAAGTTTGGCAAGTGTTTAATGATTTGTTGCACGTTAAGTTCTTGGAAATCTAAAGGAAGATGTCTAGAAATACATTTATAATTCATTTTCGTTTTAGTGGATTTGGATAAAAGCACAAACTTAAGTCTTCAATTTTACACAAAAGTTACCACTAATTTGCTACGGGAAGTTTAGCAGATAGTAAACAGAGACCCGTTCACTTATTTACAGGTACTTTGGTTTGCTAGTTAGATAAGATTGTGATGTAATAGCTATTCGGTGGGAGTGGAATAAGATTTTCATGGAATTGCAATTGCATTACATTGTTTGGTTCACAACTAGGGATACTAGTTATAACCTTTTACTATTAGTGGCTCTGCTGTAAATGATGTTAGAATATACCTGTAATTAGCTATAAATGACTAGAATTTCTTTTTTATTATATTTGGTCGAAAGTTAATTCTGATGCATTTTACAATTACATAATATATTCAAAATAATTAATAAATAATACAATTACCTGATGAATAAAATTTAAAATAATCAATAAATAATTAAAATAATGCAATTGCATAATAATTAATAATTATATTTCTCTAATATTAAATAAAATTGGAGAAATCCCAATAAAAAATTTAAACTTGTTCCAACATAATTTAAAATTTAATTTAAAAAATTTATGAATAGTTAGTTTCTAACATATAAATTTCAACATCTATTTGAGATTGGAAAAAATATTTTTGATCAGATCTTGTTGTTAGTTAATTTGGTGAAGTTGAGGTATATTACGTATAAAACAATATAAATTGAGGGTATAATTGACCAAAACTAAAAAGTAGTATTCTCAAGCTGTAGTAGTCGCGATTCATGACCCTTTGTGCATGAATTATGATGCAATATTTGCTGTAAACATAACTCTATTATGTTTCAGTGAACCCAACAAGGTTAAAGGGGAGTCTAAACCATTACACCTGTCAGGAATAATGTATTGTGTATATTATTAAACAATATGTCCCTAAAGATACAGGTTCTCTAGAGTAGGAAAAGGAAACCAAAAATTAATTACATATAGTGTATTTTACGTTAGTGCTCTTTAACATAATTCTCCTTAATAAATTAGACATATATTATATTCTTTAACACTCCTTCTCAATAGGAATGCTAATAGGTTTTACATGCCAGCTTACCTGTATTACTGATATATTTTTTTGTAAAATAGATATTCTTGATTTTGAGTAAGCAACTTCAATTTCAAGGAAATATTTCCACTATTCCAATTTCTTAATCTCAAATTCCTTGTAGAGGCATTGTTTAAGAATGAGTTTTTCTTCTTCATTATCACATGTCACAATTATATTGTCAATGTACACTAGAAGAGTTGTAACTCCCCTTATATATAAGTGCTTGATAAGCATGGTATAGTCTCTTTGACTCTGCTCGTATCATGGGCTTAATATTACCTTTATGAATCTCTTAAATGATGTTTTGTTTAAGCCTATGAAGTGTCTACTTCAATTTACATACTTTGTTAGTACCTGCATTTTTTATAAGTAATTGGTGGGAAGAGAGCTAGAAGGGTTAACAAATTTTCCAGCGTGTCAGATATGGAAAGTAAAGGCACCTCCAAGAGTTGCTTTTTTGGCCTGGGAGGCGACTCGTGAATAAATTTTAACGATTGACAAACTGATGACAAGAGGCAAAATTATGGTGAATGGATGTTACTTCTACAAAAGAGCAGCTAAATCCTGTAATCATATTTCCTGTGGTGCTTAATGGCTTATGAATTGTGGACAATGATATACGGCCTGTTAGAGATTAATTGGGTTATTGCCAGAACGGTGATGCCAGAACGGTGAGGGATAAGATTTGTGCTTGAGAGAGGTTATATAAATAGAGAAACTTTATGATGTGGAACCTAGGATCAACTAATATGATCAAAAAATCCAACATACAATTTAGCACAAAAATTTAATAGTTAAACAAATTCTCACTACTTAACCCACAATCAACCTTTGATTGAGAATTAAAGTAATTGAGAAAAGAAATTAATAATTGATAAAACGCCATATGATTACCTCGATAAGGAGAACCAATTCTCCACTCAATAAGATGGTTGAAGAACCCTCTCAAAGAGTACTAACAATAGTTGAAAGCTACTAAGCAAAACTTGTATTTTATTTCTTGAAGTTGAAAACCATTTACGAAGGAAATTGTGTTCGGTTATGGAAGAATGAATAATCAAGTTTTCAAAATCTTTAGGATTCTTATTATTCATCTGATTAATATGCTTTAAAAGAGATGAATGTCTAGTTATGACTGTTTCAAGAAGCCCAGATGCTTCCCTCATATGAAATACCTGAGAGTCCATGATTGGGAGGACTTTTTTAGCTGTTTGCTTGTAATCATCTCGGTCATGGAATCATAGTGTGAGTTGCCCCCCTTTGCTTGCATCACTTTGTAAAGCTTATTTTGTTTACTATTTTTTTGGGTTTTATGAAAAGAAAAGAATAGTAGATATTTTCAGA